AGAGATTAGAGGCTAAATAAATTCAATACTAGTTTTTGAGAGGAAGTGCTGACTAAGTTCAACATGATTGAACAATTTTTGATATAAGACGAACATTACAGTTAGCACTTGGTGGAAGCACCTTTGTATCATACTTCCACGTTTACTCTAAATATTTCAGCTCCTTAAATTTCCGAGTAATTGAATATTGAAATCAGTGATTTTTACATTCAAAACGAGAATAATTTTAATTTTCTGTGTACTTTTGGAGAAAACCTTCAATCCAAAAATTTTATTACTACTTAGCTCTGATTAAAGCAATAACAAGAAGCGCTTAAAACAAAGAATGTTTGTTAGTATAAGGTTTGCTAAACTTTTTTAATTTCCCTTTCATCCACTGGAAACTGTTCCAATATTTAAGTGTAACGATTTTGTATTCGAATACAGCGATTTCAGATTCGATTAGTCGCCCCAAGACCTTGGGGGCTTTCGCGACATTTCGGCTTGGTCTGATCGTAAAACCGTCAGCTGGGGTCGAAACATCGGATTTTATTGAAAAGGGCAACGGGGTCGATCCCGATTCGCGCCTCCGTGAGCTCATTTCCTTTCAACTTTCCCTCGTAAGCCATCAATCTAACGGCTACATTTATGCGTTCAACCTCAGGTGCATTCCATAAAAAAATATATTCGGGTGACTAGCCACATCCGCAGTTCGATGGTATGTTAATGTTTCATTCAGTAATTGAGTAATCATCGTTCCTATAATAACATTCTTGAAAAGATGAATACGATGATCCCAATTACTGTATTTCCGAGTTCTCTTCAAAGGAAAACGTTTGTAAACATTGCAATGCACGAATAATGAGCCTTTTTTTTGCAACAGAGTCTGCTTTGTAATTGCGAGCTTCTTTCTAATTAAAATCAATTTCAATGTGCTGTTATGTTTCGCTCGAAGAAATTATTGCAAATATTTTGCATTTATAAGGTCTAGAGTGGCAGATTTCAATGTTCGCAGAATCCTAAAAGAAGCAACATCTCTGATACAACGTAAGTTTATTTTGATTTGATACCAAAAAAGGCGGACTTTATCTTTCAAAAACCACGTGCTTCAAATAGCGGCCATCAAGTCTGACACACTCCTCTTGTCTAGCATGCACAGGCAAAAACCTGTTTGCAGAGGAACACTGGGGAATCCTGCTGACTTTGGTTCGGATATTCTCTTCAAGATTGGTTTTCTAAACAATGCGTTTTAAATATCCCATTAAAATAATACCACACGGGATTGAATCAGGTGATCTAGGTGACCACGGTATGGTACCGTACTCATGTCATTCGAGTATGTTTTCAAGAAATAACTGTAGCATTGCACTCAGGAACAAATTAGCAGTATGAGACGTTGACTAATGCTGCTGGACCCATATGTTTCGATTGAAGTATGTACTATTTTGTAATTTTAGTCTTAAAAAGTCATTAACATCTAGGACTGTCTCTTCGAACTTACTGTTACAGCTTGGCTACGTTGATTCTCAAAGAAATAAAGAGTTATGATTGAGGATGCAGATATGACACAGCAAACTTTAGGATTTTGTGAAGGTTATTTATGCTTTTTCTTGAGTTGTGAACGTTCCAGTGACGGAAATTTCCACTATACTCATATCCTTCTATGTAAAAATGAGCTTAGTCACTGAAGAATATGTTGTCCATAGGAGTGGCAGTACGAAATCTCAACATCACCCCAGCGTTTCCTTTCTGAAACAAAGTTAGAATCATATAAATCTTGGAGGGTTTGAATATTTTATGGATAAAAGTCGAGTTTTTTCGCACTTGTACCTGCTTATAAGTTGACTTTTTAATTTTCAATATCGATGAATGTTCACGAAGTAATGAACGGGAATTTTCAAGGACAGAAACCATAGCACGCTCGACACTTTCATTCGTGGATACCGATAGTGTAGGGTCTCGCCAGGGTCTATTTAATATTGATTCTGTAGCTCTAAACCTTGCTACACATGAATGAGGTTGATCGATGATCCATCACGGTATCGACGAATACAAAAATCCACTCGAAATGTACGCATATACTCGAAGAAACGCGGTGCTCTCTACTCAACTGTTTCATAACTACCGAAACATGTGCAGCGCTTTCAACAACGTCCCCCGAGTCCCTCTAACATATTGTGTTCTAAAACTATGTTTGTTCAAACTTGTTTTTTCGTATATTATGTTTTGAGATTTTTCAGTCCGTAAGTTTTCAATATCCTTTGAAGTATACAATCAAATTTATAAGAATTTGACACATTAACGTTCAGCTGATCGTTATCATATACAATATGAGATATATCCTTAAATCCGTACGCTACTGTCCTAAATCCCTGGAGTGAGAGCATTTCACGGACGGCAACTGGAAATAGCAAGGAAACGCCACCGTTGATCTCCAAGATCAGATCTTATTCACATGCACCCAAATTTGCAAAGTGGTAAAGTTTGGGCGGCAGTCTTCCTTCTTTATCGGCCGAATAACCAAAACCGGTTCGGGTTGAATTTGTAACGGTATAAGTTCAGAACGAATCCCCAACAAAGTTTTCCAACTCGCTTTGCGAGATTTGAGGAGGCATTGGATATTACTAATACTCTCCATATTGGTTCGAACAGTTTCTCTATAATGTTAGATCTCCCCTGGAATACAATAACAATGGGATGAAATTGATAAGGAAACTTGGAATTATAAAAATGTTAGGCTGAAAACTATCTTCTTAGGAAAAACTTAAAATACCGGCATTATTTTCAAAGTGTGAAGTAATATGAAGTCAATATTTCAATTCGAATATTCCAAGCAGGTATATTTTCTGGCTTTTAAAATTAAATGACAGATATTTCAAGCTAATTCTTAGCGAATATGTACTTAAGAGCCTCAAATAAGCTACTCAAGACAACTGAGTACGGAATGAAAATTGTATTTTTTGATGAATAAACAAACAACTTCCTGTTATAGGAATTCGAGACAAAAAACGCGACAGGACCTACCCACAGATAAAAACTCAATAACAATTTAAGTATAAATAAGTTTAAAGCAATAAAGTGCAATATTTTATACAATAATATGGATGTATTCAGAAACGAGCCTGAGAGACGAAAACGAGCACCACATAAGCTTCAAATGTAAAGAAATTTCAGCACGAAGCTTGGCATTTATTTTGGGATTTAGGACGAGTATGTTTATAATTAACTCTTTTACAAAATTGCAAAATTCTACACCCTTAAATCTTATAAACTAAATACGCAAACTTTTTCGTTTGTTTCCAAATATGAAGCTTGATAAATATCGTGAAAAAATATTGTCTGTTTCTGATTGTATAAGAAATATCTGAATTTCTGCAACCATTAACTCAAGGTATATCATTGTTATTCCAGTAGTCATAGCTATGGAAAGTTGTCAGTAGTAATAACTCTAAAACCCCCTTTCCAATCTTCTATTTCATTAAGTATGCTGATCTGCTCAACTCTCGGTTTAGTAGATCAGCAATGCTTGCCTTCACGCGGATGTTAAAATAAAGACCATTTATTATTATCATCAGGATGGATGTAGACAAAGAAAGATGTTTGTCTACAAAAGAAAACAAGACGAGCAAATATCTTAGAAATTTGCTTATGTCTTAGTGAAGACAACGATTTCTACACTCAAATGATCATTACCAAAAGAGTCTCTCTCTTTTCGTACTGCTTCCTGCTGTCTGAAGACAACATGGGTAAAAACCGGAGTGAAATGAATTATTCTTCTAATTTTCAGTTGGGATCGAAAATGTTTGCGGGTTTTTTTTTGCATTTCCATGATTACGCTTCTGAAACAAAACCCAAATAGTTTAACTAACTGTCTTAAAATCTACAGGAGATCAAGTCTGGAAGTAGGTAATGAAGAGAAGTTTCGGTCCGACCCAAAAGACCCGTATATACTACAAAAACAATGTGTTCGAACAACAAGAGTATATATACACCCCGTAGTTTCCTGTTTCGTCTAGCATTAAGGCCTGGGTTATGTCCTGAATGTCATATTGTGTCGAAAACAATGGCCGCCACACTTAATTTCCTGGCGCGCTTCTAATGATTCCCTTTTATGTTTGTTCTTGCGAGTCGCTTCGCCCACGGCATCGTTGTTACTTCGTTTCGTAACTTTGCGGATGTTTTCCCCGAGTACGAGTTTTGTAACTGAAGTATACGGGTATCGGTCGCCATCTTGTTTTTGTCATTAGGAAGATTGCGAGCGCAAAAAGTGGAGGGCATATTGTTTTCGCCCGACGCGCCGCTGAAATTGAAACAGGCGAACATCTGCGTGTGATTTGAGAATTAAGCACGCACGCTTTGATTTAGACATTTTGTTATGAAGCTATTTTAGGCGATATAAACCTCACCTCAGATAAAATATCATTTCGGCAATATTTTCATTCTCGTGAATATTGAAAAAGGATTCAATGTTATTGAAACGCAAAATAGGTTAACAATGCTGCTATAATTAACTTTTTATTTGTTGAAAGCTTCGTTGGCTCATAAGTTTCCGTTCTTGGTTCGTTTTATAAAGTTTATTGATTCTTATTTTCCTTTTTCATTGCCCGAAAATGGAAGGGATTTCACCGAATCATCAGTTGATGACGAAAGTATTGTTAGTACTCAGAGAGACTCTTTTTATGAATCATATACCATCGCCGAAGGAAGGATATACACATACTCAATAGGAGTTTAAATGTCATCTTAAGTATCAGTTTCCAAAAAGACGTAAAATTCTTTCATATCTTCGGATGTCATTGAAACTCATGGTTCTTGTACTCGTAGCTTGGTCGTTCTAGGTTACCCCAAGTAAGTATCTATATAAAAGAAGTTGTCTAGCTCATAAAGAAGAAGTTATTCTAGAATCTAGGAGATTGTTGGAATTTTATTTGCTCGTTAATAATTGGTTCAACTTGTTTCAAGCAGCGACTGATTTCTATGGCTTCTAAGAGGTCTAATCGGTTTCTTTCATTACTTAGCCTGCATTCGTGGCTTAGTCGGGAAAACACCCGACTATGGTATGGTAGGATTCGGGTTCGAGCCTCGGCGAAGGCATGGGTCTGTGTGTTTGTATGATTTAAATAGTTAAATGATGATAATTGTTGGGTAATATACACTGATTATAATCCCAATGGCCGTTTGGAACCGGATTTAAACTGTTGGTCCACTGAAAAAAAAAAAACAATATTTGATACCTATTAGGTAATCCAAAAACGATTAGACATTTCAGAAGACATACAAATCAGCAGCTCCTTGAAAAAAGAGGAAGCGATTGGTAAGGAACGAATAGGATGTGATCACTCTTGTTTGCTGTAAAAGTTTGACACTAGGAGGCATTATTCTGTAAGCATCTGAAGAAGTCATTTGTAACGACGAAACGCGTCATACTATGTAGTCAATAAAGTGTAAATCATAAGTTCAAGTGTTTGAATTTAAGTTATATTCGACGAAAGTATTGTTAGTTCTCAGAGAGACTCTTTTTATGAATCATATACCATCGCAGAAGGAAGAATATACACATACTCAATAGGAGTTTAAATATCATCTTAAGTATCAGTTTCCAAAAAGACGTAAAATTCTTTCATATCCTCGGATGTCATTGAAACTCATGGTTCTTATACTCGTAGCTTGGTCGTTCTAGATTCTCCCAAGTAAGTATCTATATAAAAGAAGTTGTCTAGCTCATAAAGAAGAAGTTATTCTAGAATCTAGGAGATTGTTGGAATTTTATTTGCTCGTTAATAATTGGTTCAACTTGTTTCAAGCAGCGACTGATTTCTATGACTTCTAAAATGTCTAATCGGTTTCTTTCATTACTTAGCCTGCCTTCGTGGCTTAGTCGGGAAAACACCCGACTATGATACGGTAGGATTCGGGTTCGAGCCTTGGCGAAGGCATGGGTCTGTGTGTTTGTATGATTTAAATAGTTAAATGATGATGATTGTTGGGTAATATACACTCATTATAAGCCCAGTGGCCGTTTGGATTCGGATTTAAACTGTTGGTTCACTGAAAAAAAAAACAATATTTAATTCCTATTAGGTAATCCAAAAACGATTAGACATTTCAGAAGCCATACAAATCAGCAGCTCCTTGAAAAAAGAGGAAGCGATTGGTAAGGAACGAAAAGGTTGTGATCACGCTTGTTTGCTGTAGAAGTTTGACACTAGGAGGCTCCACACCAGGAGAAGTTTGAATGAATTGAAATTTTTATTCAATTTGCTCAATTATAATATCGACTGTCCTGAGCTTCTGAGTAAACTTAATATCAATGAGAGGTAATAATAAAAACTTGTGTAAAAATCACTGACTGAACAATTCCTTATTAAGAGCATTATCAAGAATGATTTTATTCTGATTTTTATTCTTGATTTGAATGATTTTTATTCTTGATAATGCTGTAAAAGGCGAAACTAGTCGAATAAAGAATTGTTCAGTCAGTGATTTTTAGACAAGTTTTTATTATTACCTCTCATTTAAATATGAACTATCACAGAGTATATTCATCGTCCATTGAATTTATAAACTTAATTTCTTCGTTCCTCAGAGGTGTTCAATAAGAAGCCAGACATTTTACTCAAAAACCCACAGAAACAATCTTCTCCCTCAATCGCCTCTTAGCTTTGCATGTTCTATTGCAAACCAGATATCAAGCTTCTGTGATTTGCACTGGGATTCACTTGTTTCTATCATTAATGTGTATTTAAATCTTAACCAGTGAGGTATCTTGATTTCTTCAGATTTGAGTTCTGATAGATTCGTTTTCTTGATTATTTTTGATTGAATATTTAGATATTGACATTATAGATTTAGATTATTATAATATTTGATAATGCCATTTATTATTATAATTATTTTTTAGTATTGTATATATATATGTTTTTATTGATATTTTTAGTAACCTGTTACTACCTGTTTAGAAAGTAACCTGTTGGAGATATATGCTTATTATTATTAAATGGAATTTCATAATGAAACAATATTTAAAATTTTCTCATAATTTAATACAAATACGCATGACGACGTTTCGAAGTACTACTTCTTCATCAAATGCTGAATTGATACTAGGTGTAATTTTACTAACTCAATACTTATAGCTATTCTCACAGAACATACCAGGTATGTTCTATGACTAACTTGGAATGAGGACCATAGATTACTGATGCTGATTCTGTCTTTTGCTAGTTTTAATACAACTGATATTTTGTCTTAAACATCAGTTGTGTTAAAACTAACAAAAGAAGGAATCAGCATTTGATAAAGAAGTAGTACTTCGAAATGTCGTCATGAGTACCTATTTGTATTAAATTATGAGAGAATTCTAAAGATTGTTTCACTATGGATATTAATTTTCTCCAAGTATCGGCCTCATCAATCATCAAATAGAATTTCAATTGTACCCACTTCTGACCTGTTTCTTATAGATATAAATTTGCTATGTTCTGTGTTTTTAGTTGGTCTTGATATCGAGTTGACCAATCGAAATATTTTGACTCAACGTTATAATATTGTATTGATTTCAATACATTCGTGAAATATTAAGCTAGAAATTCAATTTGAAACAAAATATATTCAAATCAAAAACTTCATTTTCGTTGACGTTTCATTGTTAATTATTAGCTTTGACAAAGTTTTACTTAACAAACAAGCGTCAACCTAAATGAAGTTTTTGATATTATGAAACCTGTTATTGCTAAAATAGATTGAAAAAACTTTATATATAAATATATATATATATATATATATATATATATATATATATATATATATATATATCACTTTTGTGTATATTGAAATGTACAATGTGTGAGACATTTTCGATTGGCATTGTCTTTTTCCGTTTGTTAATCGATCCAACAAAGTCAGAATGTCATTTGAACGTTCCATAAAGTGAAAGCTGGGTTTTATCAAAACGTATTTTATTAACTTTCATATCATGTATACCCAATTCGAAAAAATCATATTTCAATTCGTGTTTCTAATTATTACTCTTGTAATTGTCATCATTTGATGCATAGTGAATACACTTTCTCACCAGGGAATCATGTTTGTTGAGTATTTAATGATTCAAAAAGCAATGGAGTTGATTTATTATATGGTATTATAAAAACATTCTATTACACTGCAGACCACCATATATTTTCCTACGGCCAGAAAACAATCTTCTAAAATTTGTACAATAAATCATAATATTTCGACTGCACCCACATATCTTATTAATCAACAAACGTCGTTCCAAGCCGAATAGAATAAAACCCATTAATATATTCCGAATGACAGAATGAAAATATTTATCTACATATGTATATTATTCTTTATTGTTCCGTGAAAGGAATAAACAAAACATATAACGGGATACTATTATATCCAACCATGTCACGTTAGAAAAACAGTAGTTAGGATATACAAAATTCGATATCTAAAGAACGGATGAGCACGCCCACCACGAAAGATATCTGACACCCCACTCTCTGGTTTACATAATCATAGAAACCGCGGCGAATGTTCGTTGCCCATAGAAATACAATGAGATAATTGAGCTAGAAGTTTTATGTTTAAGCAGTACGTTCAAGGTCAGGTCAACTCTTACATAAAGAAATATGTAGGGATACGTGAAACGTAGTATAACTTCTGTAAATTTTATATATGCATCTGTATGTATTTATTTTTCCAATTGTTGAAATTTTTCGACTTTATTTCAGAATTATTTGAAAGAAACATCTGGTTAAGTCGATTGAATACAGTAGAAGCTCCTTACTTTTTTCGCGTTTTCACTATTCGCGGATTGAAAAAATGCGACCAATTTCCTGTATTCGCGGCAATAGATTTATTTATTCGCGGATCTAATTGCTATTTATTATGACTGGTTCAGGAACTTTTTTGTTTGGGAAGTTGAAACCCATTTAAAAAAAAATAATTTAGACTTTGAAGCAGATCTACTTCCGGATAATGCAACAGGTCAACCTCGTGAACATCAAATTTTGCATCCAAATATAAAAGTGACAGTTTTTCTTCCCAACATGACGGTTTGCTTCAGCTTATGGAGCAAGGGATAATCCAGGCTCTATTACATAAGATCAACCTTCAAAATCATATTGATAATATTGAATGTGATCTTGATATGAATGTTATGGAATGCTGGAAGGATTTTGACATAGCAAAATGCATAGTAAACATAAAAGAATCATTAGAAGATCTGAATCCATACTCGTACACATTGAATTTATGCTGGAAAAAACTGTGGCCTACTCTGACTGTGGAAAATGTCGAAGAATCTCTGCGCACTCAAACTTAGAACCTCAATTGATAATGACGTGTGAAACTTTCAATATCAGATGTGTTCATGTGCTTTTCATTGATTCCTAAGATTTGAGATGTACATTAATCTATGCATTATCTATGCACACGACTTATTCTATGTTTCTGTCTTACAATCAATAGGGGGGTATGTGAGAATTGAACTCGTTGCCTTTCATTTGTTGAACGTGGCGAGACTGATGAGTACCTTGTAGTACGAAACAGTGACTTTCTCACGCATTCAATAAATGTAGTCATCCATTTCAAGATTTTCTAACATTCATCCCAAGAAGGATAATGGAGATTTCAATATTCTCCAACATTTATTCCTAAAAGGAAAATGGAGACATCGCATTGTTCATGTATCACATAGCCAGATCTGCTTTAATGTTCTTTTGAATAATTTGTAAAAAAAATTATCGAAAGAAAGTTATAGTATACTTTGGTAGCGAATTAGAGATAATCGATATTAGAAAAACATCGATGTCATAATCGAAAGCTCAACATCGATGCTTGATATTTATCGAATACCGAACATCGAAGTGCTTGCTTTCAATATCGAAGATCATCTGGCATGATTTCTATTGGTCGTGCGTGAGGCCGTGAGCTAAAATTGATATCGATTCCGTCAACATCGATGTTACGATATTTTTCCTATAGCAACATCGATGTCAAAACATCGATATTCTTGATTTCAACATCGATGATCATCGAGCATCCAATTTTTACAAGTGCGATAATATAGCACGGGAACTACAGAATTCTTTTTCTTGTAGTAAATTTCTTTTATATATAATTAACAATGCAAATGAAATTTTTGTCATTTCAAAGTTGTTCAGAATTCAATTCTTCAACGATATTGAAACATGATGAGCGATAGGGTATATTTATTGGGAGCCACAAATAATCCTTCAAAAAGCTGAATGTGGATAGCGAGCCGCAGGCTGCACCCCCCTCCGAATCGATATATTTTTTACTTCTTACTCAATTGATGTAGTAACCTTTGCTTGACAATAATTGAATCGTTTATTTCAGAAACCACCTAAGTGCCCTTTTTTTCAACTTTCTGAAAACTAAAAAAACTGTTTTGCAGCTCAAGTATAAGTCTAGTCTCCTTCAAATATTTTTTTACCAAATCAAGAACATGCTATTGGAATAATCTATTTTGGTAAAAAAAAATTTCCTTCAAGTTTTTGAGTTATAAATTTTTAAAAATTTATAACTCAATAATATATTTTTGTTACTTAGGTGGTTTCTGAAATACACGATTCAATTATAAAATCATAAGTTTTTCAAGTGATACTATTTCAGTTTTAAGTATTATCGTAAACCGTGAATTATTTTTACATTTACCTAAAACAAATAATTTTTAACTGTCAAAAGAAGACATCAAAGAAAAAGTATTTACACCTTCAAACAAGGCCTGAGGAACAAAATAATCAGAGTTAACGCTCATCTCGTTTATTGTTAAAACTTACCACATGGCCTGAATGGCATCTTCCTACTACATTTCATAATCCCAGTAAAATTTAATTTCAGCCCTCCGTTCTATTTAATACTCGTTTCGCATCAAAGTGGCAACTGGACTAGAACGAGTGCC